ATTTTATTAAACTACCCGAAAATAAGCAACACTATAACAAAAAAGTGTTGCTTATTTTCGGAAGAATACGGTATATTGAAAACCACAATCCCAGGCATTCGGGTTTACAAATTGTGTCTTTCTTATCCGAACCCGAAATCTATGCGATTCATTAATAAAGTACGAGGCCTATGCGTTTCACCTAAAGAATATCCTATTATATTAAAAAGATTAGTACGTAACGTCACAAATTTAGTACAATTACGTACCACGATTTCCCAATGCTGCTGTGAAGGTGCAGAAGGAACCAATGATTTGAGTGCTTTGTTTATTTCTTCGCTCAGCCATTTGGATAGCAATTTCCGTCACGATGTTGTTGCTCGGCAAATGGTTCATCTAACCGCTTCTTTAGTGTCGCATTCTCAAATAGCAATTGCTGATTAGCTCCTCTATCCTTTTCGAAAGCATTTCATACGCTGGATCAGGCAACGATACTTGGACTCCAGAATCGCAAAAAGTCTTCGCGAACACCGGCACCTCGTTATCGTTAGAGTCTTAATTTTCCTTCCGAATCTAAAAAACTTGCAAGTGACTCGTTTAATATAAGACTTTTTTAACGATAATCTGGTTATAATGTCTTTCACACAAAGAGTAATTCTCTAGAGAATCAAGGAATGCAGATAGTTCAGGATAATATTTAGCCATTTCCATTATTCCTTTTGCTGCAGCACTAGCTGACGCACGACGCCATCTTTGGTTTTCCTTAGTCTCGCATTCTACTAAGACTAACTGACTTTCGACAAGAGAATCGAACAAACAAGACAAGTCTTTGGCTTCTAGTCTTGCATTCATTATGTACGAAGTGTAAAAGACTTTTGATTGTAGTAAAATATAAATGAAAGATTGCGCCCAGCCGAATGCTGAAGACATGGCTGAAGTGTCGTTGCGTGGTGGTAGAACAGCGGACCATTCAAAGAAGTGCGCCTACTGATCATACCATCTTTTCAACGATGTATTACGTCGCCACACAACTGTCCAACGATAGACAACTAAGTCAACCCTTGAACATCGATTGAATATCGAAATACGACAGAAATATCCACACAGACTAAATCAGGTCGTTACGTGGTGGCAATGGGGCGGACCATTCGAAGAAATGCGCCTACTGGCCAAAACCATCTTTGTCAATGAAGCACTTAGAGTATCTTAGAGTGCAAGCATCGCCACGCAACCATTCAACGATGTCACCACCCTTGATACGCCGGTCGTTTTCAGGCCTTCAGACCAAAACACTGATAGTCTGTGAACGCGTAGCTGTTTAATTTCTGATTTACAAGTATTACTATTATATCGTCACGTGATCACACGTTACGTTATGATCAAAAAAATTTTTTATTATTTGTAAAATTGCTATCATTTTACAATGAAAGAAGCAATAACTTTCGAGATAGAGAGATATTACCACCTTAAGGTATTTAATATTCCAACTTTAACATTAAATGTTTCATTATTATATTATTGTTATTGCCATTATTATTTAGATACAGAAACCCTATGAGAACGGAAGATTTCTTGAATCCTGTTGAAGAACGTGAAATAGAAGAACTTGTAAATGAGGAGACAATAATTCAATTAATCCAAGAAGGCGGTGAAAATCGGGATAAAGTGAGAAGGTAATGGGGAAATGAGTTGCCAGTTGTTTCTGCTAAAGAAGGGTTGCAACAGTCTAGAGACTGCTCAGTGAGATTAGGAAGTTAACTAGCATAAAATACCATACAAATGATTTATTCTGAGTCTCTGAAACAAATCGACATTAGTAATTTTTTATGCCACAATATAATAATAAATGTCACGGCTGATGCTGAAATCCGGCTGAAGCTGAAACAATGACCTTTCATTGGTTGATCAGATTTTATTCTCTAATACCATTGGTTATTTTCGATAATATGAGATCTTTATTGACCATTGGTTATTTTCAGCTTCAGCTGGATTTCAGCACCAGCTCTCACAATAAATTTAAATTGATCTTGTTGATCTCTCCTTTTATAGTATGCATATGCAAATATACGTTGGTGGGGACCTACTAGAGTTAGGGCCCACTTGATGCATATGCACGTTCACGTTATGCAAATAGACAGGTGCGACTGTAGCTTGATAAAAAAATTTTTTTTCTTTACGCGACATACTACATAATGCAGTCTTGGATACGCGATAACCTCAAAGACTTAAAACCGAAGAATTTTTACAAAGAATTTGCCTACTCTCACACCTCACGGAAACAAGCCGAAGAAAAATTACACGAGTTACTTACAACAATCACGAAGGAGAACAATAGAATTAATCGGAAGAGGGCGAAGTCTCTGCTAGATAATTTTGAGGTAAAATAGGAGTTTTACCACTAGATGTCAGCGCTGATACTTTCTTAATTAACTAGTTGTTTGTTCTATAGCCGTGGACGCAGTCAATTGACTGTGAGAGGTATTGGTTGGATGTGGAAGCCTCACTCGCCAGGGTATGCTGGATTTTGTTGTTGTTATAAATAATAGATCTCAGCTAATTACATGATTTTGCCTTCATAGTCGGCACACGAAGTGGTTGGACGGACTTCGGCGTACAATACAATTAAAAACTTCACCAGAAAAATTAACAGTGAGGAGGAAGATCTAAATGAATTTCAACCGCCATCGAAAAAAGTCAAGAATGATGAACCCAAACAACCACAAACGGCAGAGAACGAGATAATATCAGATCCCGAAAATAATCTGTTTTTTGCAAGGTCAGACTATGGACCTGAATGTGAAGATAAAGAGTATGAAGGAGCTGAAGAGTATGAAAAAAACCAAAAATCAAAACCAAAGTTGTTTTGGTTTGTGGGCCCAGGAGAGATAAACACAAAGGGTGAAATTTACAATAAGGTAGTTTATCTTGATTATGGTAAATAAGCACATCTTATGGTTTTCCAATTATTCTTTTTCATTTAAAGATATAATGAAAAAGTGAATAGTTAGTTAACTCAGAGTCAGTAATAATGAATTGTGAATCAAACTTATTTTTTTTTCTATCAACACAGTGGGTACTAGATGAGATCAATATATCAGATATCTTCTTTCAATTCCGTCAGTCAGCAATCACAAAGGCAACAGATGGAAGCATTGAAGGGATGAGTGAGATATTGTAAGTATTAATCTTTATAAATGAATTTGAACACCTAATGTTGACGCTAACACACTTCCACAACTATTATAGAGCTCTTAATCATATTTTTTTGATTCAAGACTCGGAGAGTGGTCAAATTATTGACAAACAGCTTTGGGATAGAGTTATCCAGCAAGTCTATCAAGAATATCCACCACCTGATCTGCCAGAAGATTGGCTGTCTAAATGCAATGAAATGTCAAAAGTAAAAATCTTTTTGTTAATTCGTTCGTCAATAGTATATAAAACCTAATATTATTTTGCATGCCTTGTAATTAGATGGCTCGAAAAGACTTCAAGAACAGCAAGTCATTGTTAAAAAATTGGTACAAATCGAGTAACAAGGAATCTGATGATATAATTTTTGATGTATTCCATAACATGTAGGTTATTGTATAAGCATTTTGTTTGATTGCCCATATCACACCTAATATAATATAAATACTAAGTGTTTCATTAATTATTTTTCACCAGACTCAGCTTATACACACCCTCAGGATTAGCGGAAAATCTCCAAAAAGATTTGTTTGCCCACAAAGTACTATCGCATGTCATATCCCCCTTTTTTAAGGATTTGCTTGAAATTTCTTCAGTTTGGTAATTTTTTATCATTTTTCTTTGTACCATAGTGCAAATTACTCGTTTTCCACACAAACTAAACTTTCTTATTAGGGCAAATGAAATTCTAGATTCATCCGCACATCATAAGAAGAGGTTTGATCCTTCATTAGAAGGAAAGAAACCTGATTTTGAATTGCATATCTCCATGAATCAAAGAAAAGAGAATTTGCTTGTACTTGAAATAAAGCCTACAAGCCATGCACGATCAAATAAGGATACATTGAATGACCTTGTAAAGCTCGCTAATGAGCTAAAAGATTGCATTGACAAAATCATTAATGATGGTATCAGTGATAATGTGACTGTTTGTGGAATATTAGTCGAAGGCAAGTAGTCTATTATTTGCTTTCAATGGTTTAACAATAAATTTCGCTGTCGCTATTACTATAGGTTGCAAGTGTACTTTCTACATTATGGATCTTCAATATGATGCATTATATCGAATGATCCAACTGGGTGTCTTCTACTTACCTGGAGATAGGCATAATTTTTGTGTTATTAATAATGCTTTGGAAGTGCTCCTTCATGCACAAGTAAGTGTTACTTACATGTTTTTTTAAAGCGGTATATATATATAATAATAATTAATTTTTCATGATATTATTGTTAATAGGATATCGTTAAACAATCAGCCACCTGTTGTCTTGCTCACCTTCGTGGGCAACATTCTTCCTCCTCCCAGACATCACCCAATCGTAAACTAATGCAAAGGAAATCATTTCATGCACCTATCAAATTGTAAGTTTCGTTTTTAGGTTATTTCCCTAAATAATTACAAATAAAAAAACTAACATTAATTTCTTTACAAGTGGGAAGTTTTAATGCATCTAGAAGACCAGTGCAAGTCACCCTCTGTACGAGAACAGAGAGAGAAAAAAGTTAGCCCGGATGAGAAATAAAGCCACTTTTGTGCGGATCGACAATGACAGCATCACAATATTTCAATGAATCTATTTACTTTGATTAGTTCACAGTCACTGAACATTTCACAAAATTTTTGATTGACTTGCAATTTCATATAAGGTTGCACAAAATAATTATTTGTTTT